AGATAGCACCATAAATTGAACGAAGTTTTTCACTAACATCTACTACAATTCGAAAGCACATTCATCCAATTTAGTGATCAGATACGAGATATCACTGATTGCACCTCAGAAGTAAAGCTTCCTGAAGAGCTTAAAAACAGCAAAATCGATAATGATATGCCTAGGTATTTCTGTCGACTTTTTAATAATGTATGATAGAATAGAAGTAGTTTTATGTGTTGAATATCGAACAGTTCAAAGCTGAGGTTCATAGCGCCCATTAAAAAATACCCTAAGTGAGCTATTCATCTGCGTCTTTTTTTTATTCTCCCCTTTCGAAAACTTTGATTCACAAATAAGTTTGTAACCCAAAACTGACTTTTACTGATCAATTTTGAGCAGAAGACAATTTAACTGGTAATTCGGCTATCACAGCCATCGATCTAAACCCGAAAAGATATCAGCAAAAATTTGATGGGACAGAAAAATCTCAGTGGTCACTGAAGGAGATTCTAGTAGTACAGTATAACATCTTAATGTAGAACAAAAGTTCGTTTTTCTCTCCGTAACGTAAAACTCAGAAAGAGACCAACCACGCTTTAGACGAGACCAACCTTGGCAGGTCATATTGCATGAAATTCTATACTGCGCCTGTTATGTACTGAAACGGCCTATTAGTTTTCACAGTATATATACTACTTAAGTTGACTTGTGTCATCTTCAAGTTCATATGAAACGACAAGCTAAACACTCCCTGGGTAGTGTGCAAAGTTTTATCGGTTCAAGGCCACAGGCTAAAAAGCCCTTAAAACACCTCAGTCTCACATAGGATCATTCCTAGATTTCCGTTATGACACCCCGAATTCCGTACTGGGTCGTTTTGTGAATTTTGTTGAGACGACATAAGGTGTATCCTTGAGTTTATTGAACGGCAGCCCAACTTCTGGGAAAATCCTGTATAGGCCGTAGGCTTTATGCCTAAAACAAAACCGTCCTGAATCGACTCCGCGGCTTCTTGTCCCCTCTTCAAAGCACCGCTGCCCCATTCGAACTTTATCAACGAATGTCCGGTCTCGATTGCTTCATAATTATTGTCGGACGCAACTATGGGAAACTGCTGTCCACTGAGTACTTCAGCTTTCAAGTATATATTCGGGGTTTGCCACGTTTATTAGTTTTTACATTGCGAGCAAAGTCAGGTAACCGTGCACGATGGCAGCGAATGCGCGATGGCATAATATTTTGAAATTTCCTCGAATCATTCTCTTCTCAAAGGTACGAAATAACATATGGAAGCATGACTTTCTTGGCCCACGCAAGACACATTTGTGGAAGACGCAGTGGACACGCGAACAATTGGCGTTCACATAATTGCAGTTTCCGGATAAAGTTTTGTTAGGTAAAAGAGGCCTGGGGATGTATGTAGTTTAAAAGGCGAAATTCCTAGTCATTTCAACGGGTAACATTATTCTAGGGTACTTTCAGCTAACTAAGCCTGAGCTTCATCAAACTCAATGGAGATGCGATTTATTCGGAATTCAACTGTATCAGGCGCTAGTCGTAGAGGACTAAGCGGTGTAAGAATAACACTTTCCACCATTGTCCCATACGAGCAAAAAGCTGTTTAACGAGTGAATCTTCTGAGAAATATCCATTCTAAGGTGCCTGTACTTCATCGTCAAGATAAACATGTTTACAGACATGAAGCTATTATGAGGAGAAAGAACACCGGGTTTTATTGTAACTTGTCCTACATCCCAGTCGGAGTTGGCCGGTGAACAAGTGTATCTCGTGTATCACCTGTGCTGGATAGTTTTGCCACTGTCTCTCCCCACCCGGATGTCTTGTGAGCATCCGCACGTGTCCGTTTGTCACTAATTGCTCAGTCAGGCTTTCGAAGCTTGGACACAAAAAAGGCGACCTTTTTTGTTTGAACCACTGGCGTGCGTTGCGTTTTGTTTTCATCCGTTCATTCATTAAAGATGTGTGTGCGCACCATTATTGTGCTTACATTCATGACGAGTATATGGTTGAACTAATCCCTCAAAGCCCTGTAACCAATCCCACGCGGTCAACTGATGCGGAAAAACGGACAACAGCAGGTTCACTTCACACAATCTGTAAGCACGCGAAACAATCTGAGCGTTGGACTGTAGTGATTTCCACAGTGGTTTATTCTACAACGCACATCCAGTCAAAGATGGGCGAGGGAAGGCATGGTCAGACCGCACGCACACCAACCGTGGATCATATCTTCCGCACCGTATCCAGGCCAAACACCGCCCCTCCCACAACCATAATGTTAACCTATCACTTGTGGGTCGGTATACCCACAAGTCCATCTCATCTCCCAGGGTTAAGAACAAACACACCAGCAGGGGAAGCTGTGACTACAAGCGATCAGGTCAACCGACAGAAAACCTGAAGAGCTGTGACTACAAGCGATCAGGTCAACCGATGGAGAAAAACTGAAGGGATGAAAAGTGGAGGCAAGCAAGTGAGGAGTCAGTGTAATGCGTACTCAACGAACCAGTCACCCTCACTAACATTGGAAAGATGACCCCTTGCGGGGGACAGTTCAAGCGGTCTTAGTTTAATCAGTACTATTTTTCAGCTATTCGGGACATTTCACCAAATTCCTTAAATTACAATAGTGATACAGTGAGTTACTGAATCCAAAGGCCTTCTCAATAAACTGCTATTCAGTGCTACTGTTTTTCATCCACGTCATTGGCGGAAATGATGCTACCACATACGGAAAGCGGCCGTATGCACCAGCACACACACCGGGCTAACAACACCTTCGTGACCCTATTATACACGCAATTGTGCATTTAACGTTTCAAACCTACTCCTTCCCTCAGTATAACCATAAGAAATGTCCCTGAAAATTGGAGCATTTCTCTGGGGAATTAGAAATGGTATATTTTCCACATCACATCCGTTTTATTCATAGTGTTGGTGCGGATATAAGGTTGCAGGATACTGGCGGTGCACCGTACATACAAAGTGTGCTCATGAAAGTGCTGGCGGGTGGTAAAGTAGGACAGACAGATGCTTACAGTTAGACAGTGCCAAGTGATAAAGATCATGAAAACCAGATGAAACGGTTCAGTGCGCTTTGTACTTATGGTGCTGGTTGGTGAGTCCTGTTGAGTAAGATCTCCCCGGCAGAAGAAAATTACGGGTTTTTTTAACAGGATAGGAAACTTATCTTTGAAAACTATCTGACGACGCGTTTGCAGGCGGAGCCTGGCAACTGAGCAGACTCGGTTATGGGTTGATCACCGACATTAGGGAATTAGCTGCGCTACTGCTCTAGGGGTCTACCATAGTGTGTGTTGAGCCACGTGGTCTGATAGACTCTGGTTTGTTTTTCCGATGTGAAGAGCTGCGCATCTGCGGCGAGACTGATGCACCATAGGCACAGTGATCAGTTAGTCAACGATATCAAGCGAATCGAATGCAACCTTGAGTGAAAGTCTACGACAGTGCATTACTGCACATGAATCAAACTATCAGAGGAATCCTCCTTCAGCGGTGCCAGCGTAGTTTATCCGGTTCGCTTGTCTCTGTATCGGCAAGACAGACCGGTGCCTATCACAATGTGCATGCTTCCCAGCATTATCCTATACCAAAGCTCGAATCCTGACCCAGTTCTCAACATGATTGAAACAGCCATTAGACATGATTTGATTCACTTTACCAGTTCAGTTTAACGAGGAGGGAGAAGCGTATATCGAAGCGTGGGTACGAAAACCCAAACTAAAGTCATTTAGACCACTCCACACGGAACTGTTCGAATGGCTTCATGAAATTCACCATATAGGATCTAACCAGTCCAAGCTGAATGCGTTAATGGCACTTATCACCTGGTGTGTCAGAACCGTACCTTTAGACCGTAACCCTTTAGATGACTTTCATGAACGGTAGCGCGTATACCTTAAAGCGGCTTACAAAGGTTAAAAATTTGCTGCAAAAGAATACAGTATCGCCGTCATCGCACCGCTGATTACGTTGGCGGCACTGTAGGTGACCTTCTCAGTACCTTATACATTGCACAAAGCTCTTGCGTACTTGCCTGCTATCATCGACTCGTCGGATTGTTAAGACCTACTCAGTCACACTATCGTTCCGTACCGTGGTGCTGTATCTGCATTTGGACAACTTCACCAACACCTTGCACAAAAACTTGGATGCGAAAACTTGGATGTGAAAAGCTCAACTAACATTGATGTCGAAGTCTGCTGACGGCTTGAGCACTCAGATTGGAAGTTGAGTGAATTGTTAATAAAATGTGGCATCGTTATCCCGTAGTTGTCTTTTGTTTTTTATGTGTGGTCGCTCATTCAAAAATGTGAAAAATATAGCTCGGCATCGCCTGGGACATGCAGGGCTAAAGTGAGTCCATTAACTCTGGTAGCCTAAGTACCAGAGAGTTTCTACAAAAGCTAAATGTACTTTAAGAATTACAGAAAGCATAGGTGTTTCTTGCTTGCTTGTTGATTCGCATTCAAGACGGTCTAAATGGCATCGAAGGTCTGCTGAAATTCGCGTACACAGCAAAATTTAAAAGCGGAAGTGAGCAACATTTGTTTTATTTCTGCGTTTTTGCAAAAACCACAAATTATCCACAAAATAAAGCACAACATTTGGGGCCAAACATGGTGTTTAGTGTTGCTAGAATATGCGGTAAAATTCGACTGTGTTGCCTTTGAGTGACGGTGAGTTTCCTGACCAGGAAACAACTTTTGCGAAACTCCCTTTTCTCTACTTACTGACACCCACATTTGTGAGGAAACTAGTTGGACATCACTGAACAGTATCATATCAATCCAGGCCTGAAAGTAAAGATGGGATATACGGTTTATTATTATATCATTTCTTCCTTCCAGATACATGGGTAAGTAACGGACCAGCTGGGCACGAGGAGGATAAAAGTTATCAAACATGATTGTAATTTCGACGGGCATATTTTTTGTTCATTTTGCACTCGGAAAATGCTTTCCACAAGAACCAAGTTACTGGCAGTATTTGCCACATTTGAGCAGTTCCCAGGCCTCCGACTGATTGGCCTTCCCGCCACTAGGGAATAGTATGGCACGCTCGTATGTTTGCGCATCTTGAGGTATTCGATTATGTGCGTAAATGTCCGAGAAGTGTGCGGGTAGGATAAAGAGTTTGCGCAGAACGTGGGCAAAGAACAGATCTGGGTGTGTATCGAGCTGAGTGAAGCGCATGGTCAAGTATATGCGAGCGGCTAGCACGGAACTAACAAGCATACCAGAGGTCGCCACAAATGTTGGATAACGCTTATCCGGTGCAGATCGATTCCCGTTAAAGTATAGGAAAGAGTCCACGTTGCGGGCAAAAGGCTCATACCAGACCGAACCCACCACAACTCGCTGTCGCATGGCTTCACTGACTGACAAAAGGAAGCTAACCGTGTTGAAGGGATTCACGAACTGGTCGTCATTCACAAACATGAGCCATTTTGCTTGGGGACAGTAGGCTAAAGTCCAGCGAAAACCAAGCAACAATTTGTAGGAGGTGGAATTTTCATGAGTAACTACAAATTTTTGTTGTACTATGTCACTGTAAATATCCCCTTCTTCCACTGCGCTTTGGTCTGTAGAAGCTGTTGGGGGTAATGTGTCCAACAGAAACAGGTGTTTAACTTTTGCACCCAACCAGCAAGCTGCGTTGGCCCAAAACCGGCGTATGGTATCACGCCGTTCATAGTTGGTCACATTTGAACTGATCAAAAGCAGCAAGTCAACAGGCTGATTAGGCAGACAGAGTCCAGGTGCGTTGATCAGCAACGGAAAGTCATGGTTCGTACATGGATTAACGGAAGGCTTTCGACCTTCACTGATGCGACACATTTGTTCGAAAATATTGATATTCATTGGCGTTGGCAGATAGTCGGACTGCACAAAGGGCGGTCGATCCGGAATGTTATGGTCATTTTTGTCCTCCATTTGTTCATCTTGATCAGTTTGGCAGTATTCTTCGTGAACAGTCTGAGCAGAACGTACCCCATGCAACTGACCAAGTGCAAGCCACTCTCTCTTATGAGGGTCCGTGCTCAAAGGACCAGCTACAAGCATCAGGACCAAACTGAAAAACAAGCCAAATAGGCATATACGAAGTGGGTTTACCCTATCGAGATGTGTCATCCTAAAAGAGAGGAAAACAAAGAGTTAATTTTCTTTAGTTAGGCCGACACTTTTCACTTTCAATGAGGGACCATTTCATTATTTGCTTTGAAAAAAGAATAAAGAGAGGCATATCAATATGAAGGGTAGAAGTCAGCCACAATTGATTTGGCTGAACTCGAAATTTTCGGCCGTCGTAGCTCATGGCTATATCAAATGGTTGCAGTACCGAAAAGCTGAATGTTACAAACTTTGCTTTCTTTTGAGAACACCAGCATTTCGTGCCCGAACAAGTGACCGTTGAGGGAAGCTTTCTGTTTGTCCATCGACCCAAAATGAAATACTCCACAGTGTGTTTAAAGCGCCGAATAAATGATACTGTTTGTGTAAATAATGGGTAGGACCTAACCGGCGAGCTTTTCCAGGTAACTTGAAACTCCTACTTCACATTCACTAGAAAGTGCTTAGTTAAGTGTCTTACTGTTGCATGCCACTAGCGCACACACTGAAAGATGACTTTTGGAAGCTACAAAAGATTAATGAGTAGAGTCCTCATCGTCTCCCTATGGAAGGACGAAAAACAACAGAAAGAACTTTCGGGTACTCATTGACTGTTTGATGGTTACCTAAGGAAAATTAACGCTCCATATCAATCACTGTAAGCTGATAGAATCCATGCTGTTGAATGTCACAAAAATGGAAGGGAAACAAGCTGACAGCCAACAGTTGTAAGGTGCTTCCATAGAGTTGATTGTAGCACTGTTCGCACGTTTGATTGGTTTGAGATGGTTAGGCTTAAGGCATGATCGGTACCAAAAAGCAAGCAAGTCTGTATGCAGTCGTTGCATTTTATTACTGAGAGCTCTACAGGCCAAGAGCAGTTTTGCCTGGCGATTGCGGTAGGATTAACAGGAACGAGCGACAGCCAAATATGGAGTCAGGCACTGTCGTTACTCAAACCGTCTTCAGCATGCAACCAATGGAATTAAGTCGCTATCGCACAAAATTAATCCTCGGTTATAATTACACAACATAACCGCGGTCAAAGCACACGTTGCTATCCTTTACAAGAAGCCGAGGGTGAAGAGACAACTGATGATAAGGTAAAGGCGTACTCGTAGTTCACAGAGCCATAACAAGCATAGTTTGTTAAGGCGGAAAAAGCTGACTTAATTTTTCAGTGGCTCTTGTAACACAAGAACCTGACATTTCCATTTTTGTAAGGGATTGAATTTCATTGTCCTCACCTTGCTGGAACGCCACAAAATTTGAGGATGCTGGGTAATAAGACCGCGATGATGAATTGGAAAATGCACCTTTCATTAGCTAAGGTCAAAGATGATGATAACTTGACGAAAAATTATCTGCCCAGTGAGCACTGAACTCAATAGAATATGTTTTGGGATATAAGTAACATACAAAAAGTCACTTGCCTAAAAATTTATTATTTACCTCATTCAACACATTGAAAACAATTTGTATGTTTTGGGAATCACTTCTCTCCTGAGAGTCAGTGACTCTTGATAGTTCTGAGATATATGTTAATGAGGCAAAGATTACTTTACTCTTTCTGAACCACCAAAGAAATTTACATTGCAGTTTCCGCCTGCAAGAAAAAATCATGCTTCTGCACTGTTCTGCACGACTGTATGAGGTCCTATTCATTTACGACGTTACAAAACTGTGAAACTGTTTTTGAATTTTACGTTTACCTCATTTTGTAAAAATTACCAAAGCTCCTTAAATCACATCAGTTAATAAATAGTTCAGAAGGAGTATAATTTTCCAAGATGAATGAAAATTTCTGGGAAGCCGTCATTCAAGGACGTGATCACGTGGTGTGGTTCCCTTAAGTGAAAGATTAACGGCATTATATCTTGTCCAAGTAAGAGTTCAGCCGGTTGTGACCAACCGCTTGTGTTCAACCCATGGTCAGATCTTTGGTTCAAAACTCTGAGTTTTGTGAGATGCGCACTGTTGATAATTTCCAGCACGAATGAAGCGGTTGCATAGCATTTTAAAATTTCTAGCAGTGGCTGGCTTCACTAAAAGAGCGAAGTCTCTATCGAAAATTCAAAAAGCATTTCAAGTAATTATTATTGTTTGTTTGTAGCTCCGTTCTTGTTGCTTTTCTTAAGCGACACTTGAAGGAACGTGTTTAAAAATCTCCCTTACTGAAACGTATTTTCCTTTGGCCGACAAACTAAAGTATCATAGTTGCACTCCACATCATGACAGCTATACATAATTGCTCCAGCTATCAAGTACACTTTAGATGTTGCAGTCACTGGACATAAGGATTATAAAAGTGGTTGGACAAAACAAACTAAATCTGAGCGACGAACGTTTGTCCCAGGACCATTCAGAAGGCGCAGAAAAGTCAAGTACGAGAACAACCAAATTACGCCTTTAATCTGGTCCTGAATCTCAGTTTTGCTGTTGGTAAGGCGCCAAAAACACTTCATCTCTTCTAGCTGGAAACTGACTGACGATTTGGAAGATCATGAATCTTTCAAAAATCTGTTAGACTTCTGATATTCTGTCCAGCTGCTCACTGTTTAGTTGAATTTAACGTCTCGACGACAGCTAGATTTGTGTGGTGCCCGAGGATACAAAACAATATACTGGGTGAGCAAGCTTTGGTAAATAGAAGTTCTTCGTTTAGCTTGAATAAATTATCAATTGTAAATCAGTTTTTGTTTATTACGTCTGTCTGAGCAGAGGCAGTAATGCAGAGCAATCTTGTTTAGAACCGGGCCACTTACAGCTAGTCACGATTTTTGCGTGATCCATTTTTATGGGTTAGGTAAAAATCACTTCGTTCAAAGGTTCATTTCCTTTTGAAGGCTACAATATACACAACTAATTTTGCTCCTGTTGGTTCGCGTAATACCTCCAGCTGTTGAAAACTGGCATCTCTACCACAGTTTGGCTGGTAGCGTTGTGCTGTAACACCTTCTGGATGAGCTTCACGCGTTTTTTAATAACTCGATAAGTGAGTTACTTAGCAGTCGTATAAATGCGGAAGGAGAAATTTTCCGATTTGCGTCAGGTTGAATCAGATTGTGATTCAGTCCTTAGGCGTAACTCGCACTCGATTAGCACAACTGCCAAAGTGAACACTCTTGTGTCTTCAACCTTGCTGTGCTGTTGTCTGTGAATGCTGAAATTTCGTCGTAGAGATCAAACGTTTAAGGAATGATCCACAAGTAAAACTGCAAAGGGAAGTAAGAGAAATAAACATACCACTACGCATAGTGCTTCTCTTCAGCAGCCTACTACCTGTTTTGTGCCCTCCTGGGGCTGATTAGTTAGACACAGTCCCCGAGCTTCTCGAAATCTTATGTTTTACTCGAACAGAAACTGGAAGACTTCAGTAAATATTCTCATTTGCGGATAACCATAAACGGGCTGTTCAGTTAGATTCAGTTGAGTCCCCTGTGAAACTAAAACAATGTACAAGTGAGAGTACTTCTAGAAATGAGATATATTTTTACTGCTTAGACTTTAACTTCGTTGGTAGCAGGAATCTTTGTCCTAGTCATCCAAAAGGCTAAAACACATGTCTGGCGGAAGCTATTGTAACACGAATGTCTATCCATATATCAAAAGCGTCAACTTCGCGAGAAAATGCAGTTTACCAAGGGGAGATATTGGTTTCTTGTTAATGTTGATACTTCAAGCAAGCAGACCTTTTGCTGAGCAGGCATGATAAAGTCCAATGTTGCTTAACTTAATTGACCTTAAGCGTTCCGTCATTGCCAAACTGAGTTCAGGTTTAAAAATGATACCATTCTCGATACGCCTATTCATCAATAACATGTGCTGTATATCCTGAGTTGTTTAGAAAAGAGATCATCTTCTTAGAAAAGTGGTGCCTTTGAATTCCATTCTGGATGGCGGAAATCAAGGCAGGATAGCCAAAACTCGGTAAAAGTTTGAAGGTTGTAACGAAAAACAGCATCCTTGTTGGCATCAACTAACAATTGAGACGAGTGCATCAGGCCCTCCATGCGCCTGACTAGTCGGGGTGCATAGTGGCAATGATAAACAAAGCTCTACTAGTGCTTGCCGTAATTTTGTATTCGGATCATTTTTCTGGGTCATTGGAAGGGGAAACATAGTTTGTTGTGTAACCCGTGTTTTTTATCTGCGGAACCACACTCCGAACAGTGGGAACAAGGCACTATGCATATTTGTGAGAGGATTTTACCCGTTAAAAGCAGCCTGAATCAGAGACTATATCGTGTTTTGACTGTATTAAACAGCCATGTTGCGTTACACCCTTTCACACTGTGTTACGTAAGCCCTGAATAAAACTCAAACGATGATAATCATTTTTTTCCTTCAAAATGAATAGCCTGCGATTTCGGTGTCTGCAGAACTAATTAATATAAACAGTGAGGCAGAAAAAACAGAGAAAACTCTGGCACTAAACGAATCTAATAGGCGATTTTAGCCCGCTTGCATTGGTGAGTCGTTGTCCTCGTGATACCAGACCATTTTGTCACATCCCGGTTAAAACGTAGTTTGATCAGCCCGAGTGTTTCTAGATAGTTTTTTGAAAATGTTTCCTTTCAAGTCGTCGTAATTTTTTTCTTTGGCCCGGTGGTTATGGGAACACACTTTGCTTCAGCGGATTTAGTCGAAAATGCGATTGGCATACGTTTGCCAGACTATAATCCACGCAACCCTATGGTATGGTTTCACCAGGTGAAAGCCGTTTTCACTAGCAGACTCATCACTTCCCAAGCCATCCGATTCTCTTATGTTTCCTATGTCCTCCTTGTGATGTTGCAACAGAAGTGGAAGATCTGTTGGAAGATACTCGCAAGGAAAATCCGTATGACGCCCTTCGAGCGGCCGTCATCAGTAGGACAGGGAAGTCCGAAAACAAGATGCTTCGGGATTTATTCACCACTGTCGAACTTGGTGACAGATCACCATCACAACTGCTTCGCCACATGCGCAGTCTCCTCTGCGACCGTAAGCGAGCGGTGGAAATGATGGCCCAACTGTGG